CCGCGGGTCAGGGAGCAAGAGAGAGAGTGGGGACAGGGACGAGAAGAATGGAGACAAGAAAAAGTCTGGTCAAAGACGAAATCTGCCTGCTGGAGACGGAGTCTGCTGCTGGAGACGATGTCTGCTGTTGGAGACGGAGTCTGAGTTTGTCTGCTCTGTCTAGTCTGTCTGCCTGAGTCTGTTTGAGTCTGCCTGAGTCTGTCTTGGTTTAGTCTCTCTGTCTAGTCTAGTCTGTATGCTCTGAGTCTATCTGCTCTGAGTCAGTCTGTCTAGTCTGAGTCTGTCTGGAGACAAAGTCTGTCTGCTCTCTGCCTGCTCCTTTTATCTCTCCTGAGTCTCTCAAGTGTTGGGATTAAAGGCATGTGCTACCACTGCCTGGCCTTGACTGAAAGGATCAAGATAATTATCAGAGTGTGCTTAGCTGTTGTAGGCTGTCTTGTCAGGGTACATGGCTCAAGATGGCTGCAAAGATAATAGCCGCCCTTGGCTCAGAGTCGGCTCCTAACACCTGTGTCTATGGTAACACTAATTTCAAGGAAGAGAGATGTATGACAGTTGCCACTCTTGATGACTTGAAATCCCCAGGGGAGAGAGAGGCAGAAGGAGGTAGTAGGGCTTTGTTGAAGTCTGTTAAGGGAAACCAGCCTATTTTATATTTAATTTCAATTTTTTTCCTCTTGGTAAAACAGGATATTTTAATCTAAGATATTTAAAAAGTTTATGTTAATGAATGTTTGCCTGAATGTGTGTATGTTCCTGGCATGCGAGCCTAGTGACCTCTAGGGGGCCAGAAGAGGGGATCAGATTCTCTGGAACTGGAGTTACATTACAGATGACTGTGAGCTACCATGGGACAGCTGGCAACCAGACCTGGTCCTCTGCAAGTAACCACAGAGCCTTCATTTCTCCAGTTCACAGCAAGTTATTTTATAAATTTTTTTTAATCTGTTACTTTTGGGGGGTAGGAATATGGCTTTCTAGTAAGAAAACAAACACAAATTATTGACTCCATACTTCAGGGGTAATCCAAATCACTTGGACAAGAAAACTATCCTTCGGGAATATTGTTCTAGAAACTTTAAGAAATACTATAAAGTCTCCTCAACTGGTAGGTCAGCACAATGGTCTCTCTGGCCATTGTCTGAAGACCCCAGAGTGCCCTGAACAATAGTACTTTGGCCAATATTCATTTTCTTGTGATTATTTCCTATTAACCTGAGGCAAAATGAGAAAAAAAACAGGGGTTTGCTGTTTTAGTTTCAAAGACAATACATGATCTCTGTTTAAAAAAAAAAAAAATCCCACCATGGGACTAGAGAGATAGTAAAGTGCTTACTTCAGAAGCACAAGGAACTGATTAGGATCTTCTGCATCTATGTAAACACTATGTGTGGTATCACTCTCTTATAACCCCAGCTCTGGGGGCCAGAAAGCAGAAACAAGAGGATCCCTGGGGCTTGCTAACCATCCAACCAGTCTGGCTAGTCAGTGATCTCTAGGCTCCTTGAGAGACCCTGTCTCAAGATATAAGGTAAATGAGTAATGAAGGGAGGTACTCAAAGCCTTCACGTGTACACAGACAAACATACCAACACACACACACACACACACACACACACGAGCACATAGGCCTCCAAAACATTTGCACCATAAAAATTTATGGCATTATGACATTGGATAGTATGAATAAATTTATTCACATGCCCTTTTTCCAGGCAGCTTACAGAAAAACACCATATGTCTGTTCTCAGCAAAACATCTTCTACATGTCTGCTTCAGCAAAAACATCTTTTTTTTTTTTTTTTTTTTTTTGAGACAGGGTTTCTCTGTGTAGCCCTGGCTGTCGTGAAAAAAACATCTTCTCATAAGACAGTTTTCAGAAAAGCATCACATGAAACAACTGAGTCTCCAAAGAAACCAGAAATTTCCACTTCAGCTCTTTGAATCTGACACATTTGAAGCCTACCTCAAGGTATATTGAGCCCCTGCAGATGAGGTAACCAGAGACACTATCAATCACCACCTTTGCTTTCTGGGGTTTAGGGGAGCACCTGAGAGTGAATTAGTCATTGTGTTTACCTCAAGCATCTCTAAAGCTCTCAACACTTATTTCCCTGCATCACCACGGCACTAATGTTTCACTTGTAAAATCAACACTCACATAAGTATCTTCATATTTTGGGCTCTTATTCATTTTTCTTTGACCTAATGTCTTGACTCATCCTTGAAAATGTAAATGTCATCATGTGCCTCATCCTGCAGACTGTCATTGCAATAGTACTCTCTCCTTTTTTCTTCTCCTTTTTTTCCTAAAGGAAGCTCAAGGACAATTTTATCAGAGTTTACAGCAAACTGGTACAGATGAGACAAAACCTCTGGTATGCACGAGGAAGAGATGAAGAAAACACCATGACTTTTAAGTTAGGCACGGAGTAAAAGCAAAAGACATCTTAAGAAAGGAAAAAACACTCCCCCAAGAAAATAAGAATGCTAATGAGCTGAGGAAAGAGACCGAAGCCAGAAAGAGTCTGAAGCCCTTTCCCCTATGTAAAAATAATTGTATTTGTTTTTGTCTTTGTTTATTCTTCTGTCATAACATTACATCCTGACTGCAGGTTTCTCTCTCCTCTCCTCCCAGCCCCCACTTCACCCAGCCTCTCCTTCAGATCCACTCCTTCTCCATTTCAGAAAATGGCGGGCCTCCCAAGAATATCAGCCAAACATGGCAAAATAAGATGCCATAAGACCAGGCACATCTCTTCATGTCAAGACTGGGCAAGGCAATCCAGTAGGAGGAAAAGGGCCCCAAAAGCAGGCAAAAGAGTCAGAGACACCCACTGCTCCCACTGTTAAGAGCCTCCCAAGAACACCAAGCTACACAACCATAAAATACAGGCAGAGGACCTAGGTCAGACCCCTGTAGTCTCCCTGATCCTCCCGTCAGTCTCTGAGGACCTATGAGCCCTGCTTAGTTGATTCTCTGGGCTGTGTTCTTACAGTGTCCTTGTTATTGACCCCTCTGGCTTCAACAAACCTTCCTTCCCCTCTTCCAGGGGATTTCCTGTGCTTGCCCTAAAGTTTAGCTGTGTCTCCACATCTGCTCCTATCAATTGCTGGATGGAACCTCTCTGATGATTATACTAGGCTACAGTCTACAAGTATCATTAGGAATCATTTCATGGACTTCCGGTCTGGGCCCGAGCATAGAGCAGGTCTCAGGCGGCAGCTCTGTACCCAACCTCAGAAAACAGAGAGAAAGAGGGCCTCCCAGGAGCTTTAACTCAGGCAGCAGCCCAGGTAAAAATGAATCACCCGTGATGTCTGCTGTTAGAAGTTCTAATCCAGATGCTGGCCTCCAAACTTATACTACTCAGACCTTTGAAGGGCCACTGACAAGAACATCAAACAGCTAGAGATTGACATCACTAATCTGAAGAAATCCTTTGTTTCACTGTCTGAAGAGACCTCCTAAAATCGCAAAGATCCTTATTGGACTTGATTTACTCTAGTACAATAGAAAAGGCTGTGTACAGCTCTTGACTGTGTACAGCCCTCAAAGAAGAAGGTTGCCCTTACATAGACAAGACAGGGAGGGTTAAAGAGAGCATGAAATAGGTAGTGAAGGCCCTAAGAAAAATCAGAGAGAGAAAGAGACAGATGAATGCTGGTACAAGAATTGGTTTGCAGCCTCTCCAAGGTTGTCAACCCTATTTCCTTCCATCTTGGGACCATTATTTGGGTTCTTTTTGCTTTTTTCTGCTGGTCCCTGGCCCTCAAATAGGCAGACTAACTCTGTGATACAACAGATAAATAATTTGGTAGCAAAACCTACTCAGATACATTATCATAAGTTAGCTATGGAGGACCACAAGACTCAAGATGAGGTTGTTACTTTATACAGGGTGTTCCCAAAACTCACCTCCACCCAACCTAAAAGAGGGTACTTCCACCCCTAGACCAGGCAGAGAGGGGCCACCCAGAACCCCCTCTGACAGGCGATCTGAATTCTTGCTTAGGCTGCGAGGCTAAGCACTGCAAGGGAATATAAATAAAAGATAAAAATATCTATCTGGGTTCCCTGAGGGACAAGCCTGACTGCATAGGGGTTAATGTCAAAAGTATCCCCTCTCTAGGAAAGACATCGGGATGGGTATGGCCCTCATGCCTCACTGGACAACGACAGGGGGACTGGAGCCATTACAAGGTCCCCTTCAAATACTGGAGGTCAGGCCTCTATCCCCGCCTTCGCAAGTTTAGAATTGCCACAGCCCTTCTATACTTAGAGAAGGGAGGAGATGTCAGGGGCACCCCTGCTTACACACTGTAGGCCTAAAATCAGCCATAGGCCTAAAATCAGCAATAAGCCTGACATACATATATACTAACACCAAGTCTTGGGTCTCAGTGGAAAAAACATTGAAACAGATGGCTATAAGCTATTGTAAACAGGCAGCTTTTGTGGAAATTTATAAGCCTGAGTAGTCATAGACCTTGTAAATAGGTAGCCTGGGCAGACAATACCAATTTAGATAAGGACAAGTAAGTCATAGGCAGAGTCATAGTGACTTGTCCCCTGAACCTTCACCCAGCCGATACCCGGTTCTGAAGATATCTGTATTCCCTCTGAACACTCACACACCAGTGTCATTCCCTTCCCCACATCCTGCCTTTCTGTGTTTATAACCCCTGTGTGAATTAATTACAATTTGAGAAAAAATTTTAAAAAAATAAAAAATTTAAAAAAAAACAAAATAGCAAAGGAAAAAAAAGGAATCATTTTATAAACCTTTTATTTTTTAACATATTTCTATTTCTACTATTTTAAGAAGTAAGTAAGATTGCTCCTAAAGACTCTGGAGCCATCTTGCTTTTCAATAGACTGCCTGAAGGGCTTACCAGCCATTGTTTCTTGGTTGGTTGGTTGGTTTTTGTCTATACCAATTATTTCCTTGATGTAAAGCTAATAGCTTTTCCATTCCACCCTTCCCATTCTCTTTTAGATAGGCTTCAGTTGATTATTTTTTTAAGCTTCCCTTTAAAAAAAAAAAAGAAAAGAAAAATAAACTGCTAGCACTGACTAACACTTTACTTTTAAAGTGTTAGCATTTGGGTTTTAGTAGTTCCCTAATACTGCATTATTTTATTTTTTCATTTTATGAGATTATAACAAAATTGCATAATTTCTTCCTTTCTTCTCCTCCTCACAAATTCTCCCATATATCACTTCTAAGTCTTTCAAATTCATGGTCTTTTAAAATTAATGCTATTACATGAGTATGTATGTGTATGTATATGTATATAATCTGTTCATTCTGTGTGATGTTACTTGTATGTATGTTTGGGGGGCATTATTGCATTCTTGTCATCTTTATCCTGTTCCTTCTGGGCTTGGGATCTAATGCACTTCCCTGGGGAAAGTGTCGGTGAAGTTGAAGATGTGTGCAATCCCTCAGGTTAAACAAGCACTCTACCACGAACCTCACCGCAGCCACATCACTGCCATTATTGATTTCCATGTACAAACTGCTACACACATGATCAATGAAGTCACTACAAGCTATATTCGTATCTGAGCTATAGGTGAACTCATTGCTTATGAGATGTCATTACTTCTGGACGTTTGCAGAATACACAAAATTTCACTCACACACACACACACCATGCAGAACTGTGTACACAAATTAGTGGATAATTCTGATTTCTTTCCAATCTCTTACACTGCACACTCCAGAATCCTGCTATATACACAAACGATCTCTCATTTGCCTATTTAAAGAATATTATATACATGCCTCTGTAGAGGTCTTCTCTTGTCCTTTTTGTGCTGACACCCTGCATGCTTTGGCTGCAGGAGAGCAAAGCGGTGTCCAGGAGTTCGGGACAATGGTTGGACTTGGCCTTGAGGTCATGGCAATGCCTCATTAACAGCCCAGGCCGGGTCCAAGGGCTCATAGGGCTGTAGCCAGTTGTCATTGTCGTTCTCTTCGATGACCTGTGGCCCTCTAACCGGCAAAGAACAGATGGTCATAGGATCCGGGTGTTCGCTGCCATCATGGGCTCGGGGCCTGAAGTAGGCGCGGAGCGCCCCGGAGAAAGGGTCGGTGAAGCTGAAGATGTGCGAACCATCGGACACGTTGAAGAAGGACAGCTTGCCCGCCTCGTAGTCCAGCAGGACACCGACCCTCCGCGGAGGCACGCGTAGCGCCAGTGCCACGCGATGTGGGTCCAGCACGAAGTACTCGCAGCGGTTCCACAGCCCCATCACCCAGTAGCCTGCCGCTGGGCTCAGGCGCGCGGGCCCCGAGCGATCCACCGTCTCCAGACAGGCGCCCAGGAACCAGCGGCTGCGCCGACCCACATGCACCTCCCAGTAGTGGCGGCCGCTGGAGAAGCGCTCCCTGCTCAGCACGCAGGTCTGCTCCGAGAACCGCTGCGGGTCACTGGCTGCAGTTTTGGGCACCCCAAGGCGGGAGGACACGCTCTTGCCATTGTTGGAGATCTCCAGGCTAGGGTGCGCTGTGGCGGGATCTAAGGACACGTCCACTGAGCAGAAGCTTAAAGTTAGTACCTGGTAAAGAAGGTTCAGAAACCTCCCCCTCCCCCCTCCCTTCCTCTCCCTTCCAATCCCTTGCTTTCTCCTCTCCTCTCCTCTCCTTTGCCCTCTCCTCTGCTCCTCGGAAAGTTTTTAGTTTTTCAAGTTGAAACAACTGGTGGAATCATACTTCTTCCCACCCACCAACTCTGCCAATCATCACTCTTCCAAGAGCATCATGCAGATCACTCCTGAAGCCAACTCCTTTCCTGAATCCCATTCTCAGGTTCCAAATGAGGAAAGTTCATGAGTAGATTCGCAAGGATGGAGCCAAGCCTTGAGCAATGAGGAGACAGATATTTACCAGCTTCTGTGTCCTCTGGTCCTATCGCCCAGTCTGAACATCAATGCTGTGCCTCTGCTCTGCAGCAATTTTAGGACTCTTAAAACTACAGAGAACCTCAGAGATCATACAGTGACCTACACTCCAACTCCTATGCCCATAAACACATCCACCTGATGGCTGAGAAACAAGATCTCCCTATATAGCCCAGGTTGATCTTGACTCATGACCTCAGCCTCTCAAGTACTAGGATTTCATGTGTATATCATCGTGTCTGCCTTCGGAGCCCTTCTCTGAAATGATCTGAGAGGCTCCTTTCAGAGTTTGCCTTTTTTTTCCGCAAAAGATTCCAGAAGCAGCCTTCCTGTCATGGAACACGTGTGCGCATGTGAATGTATGCAGTATGTTGTATGTATAACGTGTTCATTTCCAGGATATGGGCTTGATTCCTGGAAAAGCCCTTCCTCTAAAGTCAGTTCCCTCTGCATCCCTCTGTGAAAGCCCCAACCCATCACCAGTCACATTTGGCAGCTTCAGATACTTACCTGCATATTGCTGGGCTGCTCTCCACTCTGAAACCAAAGAGAGAGGGGAAGGGACTCAGAGAGTTCAGCCAGCAACTTTGGGACACATAGGATGGCTTTTCTTGCTCAGGAGCTGTCTACAAATTAAATGACCTCATCTCCATCTCTGGATTGGACTGGGCAAGGGTCTAAACAGTGCTGGGTTCTCCCAAAGTGTTATGCAGCCTCAAGCTACATTGAGAAGATGCAACAGGATCATGGAACCTGGGTACCCTAAAGCGTGGAAATGAAACCTATCTGCCTGCCCAAGCTCAGTCCTGGAGGCCCTGCTGAGCTGGACTCTGTCTAAAGATGTCTTCTAGATGCCCAGTCTTCCCTCTGCAAAGAGTTGATCCAAAACAATAGAAGAGTTTTTTTTTCCAGAGCACTGGAGGGGGGCTCAATCAGAACAGCCCATGGAGCTTTAAAGGTACACAGCTGTTACATGGAATACCTTAGTTCCAGCAAAATGCGGATTCAGTGTCGGTTTGCTTATGAATTAAAAACTATTCGTCTAAATCAACTTGAGGATTTTTAAAGGTTCATCAGCTTTAAAAGGGATGTAGATATGGGGAAGGAACACTTGAACTTCCTGGTGCTATCAAGGCCATAATAGTGATAACAAGAAGGGAAGGAGAGCCCTTGGACAAACCTATCTGGACTTATAGATCTTACTTACATACACTGAGGTTGAAACCTTACCTCAATGGGAAGATTATGGCTGGTGTACTAAACGGCATAATGAAGACCCATTCACTGCACACAGACAATTCAGTGGACCCATCTTACCTCATACCCACAGTGGAGGAATTCTGTAGGATTAATGACACATGAAATATGCCATTGCAGTTTGGATATGAAACATTCTCCAGTGGCCCTGAGTTAAAGGCTTAGTCTCAGCTCTTCACTATGTGGAATCTTTAAGAGGGACAGCCAAGATGAAAGTCTTCTGACCATCCAGGGGGGATTGAGACTCTGGCCTTTCCTTCTTTTTTCTTTGCTTCCTGCCGTACTATGTGGCAAGCAGCTTTCTCTGCCTCACACTCCCTTACTCCCTGCTGCAATGTGCTGCCTTGCCACAGGCCCAAGTGATCACCTTTGAAACTGTGATCCCAAGTAAACCTTTGCTCTCAGTGCAAGTTTACTGTATCAGGTGTTGTGTGACACTACTAGAAGGTGAGGAATACACTCTATATTAATAAAAGAAATTATAAGACAATATCATTGTGACATCCTTAGCAAAGGTCTTCAACAAAGTTTCAGGAGCATAAGCCATAAGGTACAAATTTTGATTAATTAAACTTTATCAAAAGTAATGTTCTCTCTTTAATAAAGGGAACATGAACAAGACTAACAGCAAATGACACAATAGCAAAAGGAATCCATGTTGTTTAATATCAAATATATATACATATATATATTATTACATACACATACCCCACATATAGAAATCCTCAAAACCTTAGCATCCAGAGAGGAGCTACTACTAAAAGAATAAGAAAGCATTTATTTCTATGGGCCAACAAACTTAGAGAGCTAGCTCACACAGGATGCAGGTGTACAGAGCCTCACCATTGTTGATGGCAGGAAGATGGCTTTCTGGGAAATCTTTGTCTAGTCAGCATCATAATCTCCCTTCCTGGTTATACTTCCTAGAGAAACAGGGTAATAGGACAACACACTTTTGGCTTACTCAGTGTGGTTTGCAGTGGAGTGCAGTGAGAACCAGCAAGAAGAAAGAAACCTAACATACAGGAGATGGATATTTAAACAGCGATACATGTGTGAAGCAAGGGACAGACAGCATGAGGCTATGAATGATGTTTACACAAAAACTATAATGCGTGTGACAAAGTAGAAACCCAAATTTACAAGAATGTATACAAAATAAAATATACATTAGACTGTTGGTCTTATGGAGGGAATATAGGCCATTACAGTATTATCAGGTTCCAAGAAATTCCTTTTCCCAACGTCTGGCATTTAGGCAAAAGCCAGCATTCCCTCTGGGACTTAAGATGATAGTTTGTATTTGCTAAAAGGAGTCATTTTCTTTATATGTGGCGAAAGTGACATATGGCTCCTCCATTTACCTATGCCTGTAGTGTCTATTAGCATATCAAGGTCTATGCTAACCTTTAGGGTCCCTCAATCCTAGCTGACATACTCTGCCTGCTACCCTAAACCAGCTTCTGTCCCTTACATTGCTCGGACATTTTTAGCTATACATGTGGATCTCCTCTTGATTTTGCTCTTGGCTTTGCTCCTGGACCCCAATTCCATTTACCCTCTCCCCCATTCCTTCTTCCTCTCTTGCTTTCCACCCCTGCCCCTTTCCTCTCATTGTTCAGTTCAATGTTCTGGATCCATTCAGTCTGGATTCTTTTAGTTGCCTCTGGCTGTACTCTTCCTGGTATGTACAATAAAAACCTTCTCCTCAACCATTCCTAGGAGTGGCCATGTCCTCAGTCTCACTGAGGTATGAAGAGAAGCATTTAAACATTTAGTAGCATGTCTACTCTAGATTCACAGGAAATTTGAGGATTAGCATCAGAAATTCAGGTGACTGTGGTGTGTAACTGTTAGGTTTTAAACCAGAAACAAATGGCTGGGGTGCCTACCTAACGTATCAAAATGGACCTGGCCACCAGGTTCTCCCAGCATCCCTGAGTTCCTACCTGTTACAGGGTATGGCTGGCATACCCCACTCCCTACCCTAAACTTCTCTAGGTAAGAGAGAGAGGCTTGGCTGCCCTTCCCTATATAAAATCCAGCCATTTTAGCACCCAGTTCTCTTTTGGGCCTCCTGGCTACTACACCTAGTTTGCTTCCCTCCTCTCTCCCTTCCTTTCCCCTACATCATCACATGGCTCAGGGCATGTCCACTCTGGACTTTCCCTTTTATCTATAATAAACTTCCTCCTACATTATTCCTAGGACCGCCCATGTCCTGGCCTTTTTATTTATTTGTTTTTTCATTCAGTAACCAGGATTAAAAACAATGTTCTTCCACAGGTAGCCTTGGGACAACAAGTATAAATATACAAGTGAAACGTGGGTCTGACCTCTACCAAATACAATATGCATACAACATGGAATGCACAGGAGAGAAGATAGAAGCACCAGACAGAATGTGATGTTGCCAAGTAGAGAGTAGCTGGCTAGTGATAGCTTGATCTACATTTTCGGTTTGTTTGCTTGCTTACTTGTGTTACTCTATAATGGTATGGAAGCCATAGGTATTCATTAGAAACCAGGCTTGGAATTTCGATCATTTCTCAGGCTGGTGATAGGTGGTGTGTTGACTCTATGGAGATGCTGGGGAAGCCACAGTGAGTCAGAGCCTAAGCCAGCTGCATGATCAGAAGGTACCCATCCAAAACCCCAGCCCTGTGCCGTTCATCCATGATGTTTGGTAGACCAGTCAAACGCATTTCCAACTTAGGACATTTTCAGTGGGTTTAGAAAGATATGAGTCCATCATGGAAGTTGGGGAGCCTAGTGAGAAATGGTAGGAGAGAAAGGGACTGTACTCACCAGCCTGGCCTTCGGACCTTCTCCAGTCTGAAGCAGCAAAGGAAAGGTGGAATTAGAAAGTCAGGACACCACTGTTTTTGCCATCCCTCGCCACCCATGCAGCCAGCACAGTTCCAGTCTGGGTGTCATACTTCCTTGGGAGAGGATACATGGATAGTAGGGTACAATAGGGGACAGAGAGGGATGGTTCTGGGGTGGAAGACACTTACCAAGCTCTGTCTGAAGTTTCTCTGCAAGCAAAACAGAGAATCGTCAACCTTCTGATGCAAGCACATTCCTTCATCTCAGGTCACGTCTCTCTGCAACTCTACCCTTGATGCCACATTGCCCTATAGGAGGCTCATCCCCACTCCAGGGCCTTTATCCTACCTTCATTTCAGAGGGAGAAATCAACAGGCACTGGCCCTGGGAGTGACAACAGGCTTGGTTCTAAAGAGTTTCTCCCCTAGGTTCCAGTTGGGTGGAGAGGAGTTTATTCTTTCTAAAACCAAAAGATGTTCCTGGTGGGCAGGGAGAGGGGGGTGCCAGAAGCAGATGGATAAGCTTAGGCACAGAGCACAACCTATGTCTCTTGGAGTCATTTGCTGAATAGTTCATTTAAAGATAAAAAGGACATGATAATTAGTTTTTCCAGGCTAGATGTAAAAGATCTGACTCTGTCTCTAGAATATGGTCCTCTGGTCTCTCCATTTTCTGTATTCTTTAAGAACAATCAGTATACTAATTCAGACGGGGACCTTGATGACTCATCACAGCGGGTTTTTGTTTGTCTTGTGCTTTTGTTTTTGTTTTGTAGGATTGGGTAGGCAGTGAGACCCAAGGCGCTCAGGTTCCTCAGCTTCCTATGTACAGCCCTCTGCTACACCACACCCCTCGATGGTTTTAAGTTGGTGTGTTCCAAAGAAAGAAAAAGTAATTTACCAGAGTGTTCCATTTTAGTGCAAGTTCAAGGGTCATTCTTCACAATGGCATTTGGGTTAAAAGAGAAAGGTCGACTCCAGGAAGGAGGAAGGTTGGGAGAAGGAAATACTCCAGCAGGGTGTGTTCAGAGGTTCTTCTGGTGAATGAACCCTGAAGCTGGGACCCACAGGCAGGCCATCTCAGTCTGCCTGATTGAGGGGAGGCAGGCAAAGATGGGTGGAGAACCAGATGGGTGTCATCTTTCTCTCCCTCAAAGGAGCCTAGTCACTTTGACTGCCCTTTTCTGCTCCAGGGATGGCCAGATAAGCATACTTGTCCTATAAGCTGCCCTCTGGTGGGGAACCCAGAACCTACTCAACCTCCCAATTAGTCTTCCTGGAGAAGAAAGGAATAGAGGATGCTCTAAGACATCCTCTGAGGTGGGGAACGACTAGACACGACAGATTATGAACACGGGAATCTCACTCCCCCAAGGTGTGCAGACTGAGCCCTGTGCATCTGGACGACAGCCTGGGTGCCTGGAAACAGACACCTTGAGCAAACGCAGTCCTTCCTTCTCTCTGCTCTTCTAGTCCTAGATGAGCCCTCCAAGACTGAGGTCTTAGAAACCTGGGCTCTCCTCAGGATGTAGAGGGCACCAAGTCCGACTTACCTCTGTCCTTCTCTCCCTGCTTCACCCGCTTTTCTGAAAGAAAGAAGGAATGGGAGAAGATTAGCTTTTTAAGCTCTCCTTCCAGATTGGGTCGCCTTGTCTCTCTACACCTCCGCCCCCTCCCCCAACACCCTACTCTCCCCCCCCTTCACCCCTCCCCACCCACTTCCCTATTGAGAGACTGGTAGTTAGACTTCCTGGTGGGCAGACAGGGAGAGGGACCATGGGTAGGTAATATAAAGGTGGCAAATTTCCAAGATGACCAGCTTCTTCCTCAACCTCCTGACTTGAAACAAAAAACCTGGCAATTTTTGTGTCCCATCAGCAGGACCCCTGCGGGTGGACTGGCTCTACAAGTTGAAGGCCTGATCAGGACAACTCGCATAGCCTTTCTGGACCAATCAACCATCCCATCTGTCCTCAAACCAACCTGCCATAGGGGAGGGGAGGAAGATTCTTCAGAGAATTTAAAAGCCACGGTCCTCGGGGAAGGGACAGGATTTTTTTTTTCAGCCTTTTCGAGTGCCCCTCTCCCCACCCTTAGCTTCCCAAGGGTCGTTTTCTCTGTGTATCTGTTGCATGTGTGTGCTTCCTCGTCCCAATAAGAAAATGCCCGCCCGTTTAAACTGTTGATTCTGTTTGTGGTGCTTGAGATTCCCCTGCTGCTTCCTCTTCTGTTTCAAATCCTGCTCCCCCGCCCCCACCATCTCTGTCTTTTAGTTCTTTAACTGGCAGGGAAAACAAACCTGGTCAGACTCCTACCTAGACTGTATCATTATGGAGCAAAACCAGCTCCAGGGCCTGACTCATACCTTGGAAGCGCCGCTGCTTGTAAAAATACCGCAGCGCCAGCATAGTGAGTACAATCAGGCTGAGCGACAGGACCACCAGGGTTACCACAAACGCTTTCTTCCAGGGGGACATTCTGGGTAGGAACACATCTGGAAAACATGCCACATGGTGTTACTTGTCTCGACTTAGGATCTACTAACCACTGAAGCAAGACTACCTTGGACTTCACATCATAATGTCTTGAGTGACTTTGGGGTAGACAGTTACACCTTTAGTGGGAGCCTCTGTAGCCAGGTATGAACCGACCATGAAGGCAGCTGTGCAGCCTTCACTCCAGGTAGGATCAGGCGCAATGGCAGAACTCACTAGTGTGGGGGAAGGAAAGGCTGTGAATTGAGGATAAAGGATGGGTCCTGACTGGAGGGATGCTACAGCAGCCTGATGGCACTGTGGTTTTGCCTGCGCCAAAATGGACTGCTCTATCCCAGTTATTAGCGTGTTCAGGTCTGAGTAATAATTTACATAGGTCCCCTGTGATGACTAAAGAGACTTAATATGGAGCCAGGGGTCCCTTAAGTGCCATTGACCTTTTACTCCACAATGCCTGCTAGTGGCCTGCAGGTGAGATGAGAAGAGGAAAATGGGCTCTAGGATATTAACAGCGGCCATTGCTTCTGTACAGCTTGCTTATCCCCATGGGAAAGGGATGCAATGCTCTTTTTACTATTTAGAGAAAAAGTCAGAAACAACTGAGGGAAGTAAACCAGTTTGCCTGCCCAGCTATGGATTCTGTGGATAGCTGTAATACATTATGTCTGCCTTTAAAAACCCCACGTAAATCCCCCTTCCACACAGCATGCTCTTTGGCTCTAAGGCTGCCAATTCATTTAATCTGAATTTGAATTGACTCTAAGTTTCTGGTTTCTGCCAGTGGGTTTGGATGCCACAGAACTGGTATGCCCTTCACCTCCCCACCACTTATAACTGGAGGACCACAACCCCACTTTTCCAGTTCTGATCTTACACTTGAAGGAGTCCAGCATCCAAAGTGTTTTCAACCTGGCGGGGGAATCTATAGGTTGTCACTTGCTTCCTGGCATTTGTCTCAGTTCTCACACCACTGGAAGAATCCCCAACAAAGCCAATAGCTGCTTAGCCACAGTAGCAACCCAAGCAAGCCCTGTGCTAGTTTAAATGAAAATGGCTTCACAACACCAACCCAACTTCAAAACCTTTGACCTACAATTTGCCCTGCCTACAAGATATGGTGCGGTAAAGGTGGTGCAGAAATTGGTGGAGTGGCCGACCAGTGACTGGTCCAGCTTGAGACTCATGCCATGAGAGGGAGCACATGCCTGACACTATCTGGAAAACCAGGAACCAGAGGCGGGATAGCCCAGTCACCTAGGATAGAAGCAAACATGACCAACAAAGAAAAAAAAAAGTCCATGAAATGATTCCTAATGATATTCGTAGACTGGAGCCTAGCATAGTCGTCATCAGAGAGGCTCCACCCACAACTGATGGAAACAGATGTAGAGAGCCACGGCCACACATTAGGTGAAGCTTGGGGAATACTCTGAAAGAGGGGGAGGGAGGTTTGTAGGAACCACAGGGATCAAGGGTGCCACAAGAAAACCTATAGAATCAACTCACCTGGGGTCGTAGAAACTCCCTGAGACTAAACTGCCATGAGGGAGCCTGCATGGGACTGACCTAGGCCCTCTGTAATATGTTATGGTTGTGTAGCTTGGTCTTCTTGTATGATACCTAAGAGTGGGGGTGGGAGCTGTCTCTGACTCTTTTGCCTGCTTTTGGGACCCCTGTCTTTCCACTGGGTTGACTTATTCACCATTAAATTGAAGGGAGGTGCCTATCTTTACTACAACTTGATATGCCGTGTTTGGTTGATATCCATGGAAGGCTTGCCCTTTTCTGAAGGGAAACAGAGGAGTGGATGAGGGGATGGGAGTAGAGGAGGGGGGAAACTGCAGTTGGGTTATAATAAATGAAATAAGAATAAATAAAAAGCAATTTTAAAAAAGAAACTGGCCTTCGTAGGCTCATAGAGAGTAGCATTATCGAGGTGTGACTTTTTGAAGGAAGTTTGTCACTGAGGATGCGCTTCGAGGTTTCAGAAGCTCAAGCGCCTCTCCCCCCCCCCCTCTTCCTATCCATATGTAGAACTCCCAGGGACATTGTCAAAACCTGGGTTCCACCATGCTTCCCACCATGATGATATGGACTAAACCTCAGGAACTGGAAGCCTGATCCAATTAAATGTTTTTCTTTATAAGAGCTATCATGCCCATGGTGTCTTCTCACAGCAATAAAACCCTAACCAAGACAATCCCCAAAGGTAGGGTGCAGTTTGGTGTTGTCTGCAGCCCAGGGAAGCTCCTCGAGTAGCCAGGGATGAAGGGATGAAGACAAAACTGGAGCATAACTTTGAAGAAACATGTGTCAGCTTAATAATTTTGTGTCCATGTGATCTAATTATTCAAAAGTAATGATTTATTACAGATAAATATCTTTAACCTTTAGTACAGTAAACTGAAGCAGAGATTGCTTCAGGGTTAAGAGCCCTAAATGCTCTTCCAGGATCTTATAGGAAAGATAGGCCTTATACCAGGAGCTATATCCCCTCCCCTAAACCGTGCTTTAGTGTACAGACGACCTCTGGGCCAATCAAGATGGAGCTTTTGATGATTAGAAAGACAAGTGTGAGCCAGTGCCTACTGACCTGCAATCTGGATCACGAACTCTTTCTTCTGAGGCAGCAAGGGGTTCTGGATTATACAAGACACATTGCTATGGGCCCCTCCTCGGACAACCACAGATGTCTCCAAACTGAACAGGCCCTGGGCATTCTGCGTGATGGCTTCAGACTCTGGAGAAAGGCACTGACCCTGGTGGCCTCTCCACTGAACGTTTGGCTTGGGGTACCAGCCACTGGAACTGCATTGCAGCTGAATGCCTTCTCCACTGAAGCCCTTGAGGAAGATGTGTGGGTCTGAGCCCAATCCTGGGAAAGCAGAAGTGAGAAAAATCAGGCTCACCATACATAGAGTTCCTGCCACTGTTCACCATCTGTGGTGACCATAAGATGACAGGAATTATGACTGCTCTTATCACATATGTGAGCGACCACCCTTCCAACCCTGAACTGCCAAAGGCAGTTTAGATTAGGTGGGGACATTAGGAAATATTCAGGGGGAGGGGCTATGTGCATTTAGCTATATTGCGCAAGAAATGATCCCACTACAATGGAAAATTGCCTCACCCAGAACTCAAGTAGATTATCCTCTGTTAATTCTCACTAGATCTCAAATGCCTACAGTATATGCAATCCTTTCGCACTCAAATAGAGCTAGCTCTGTTATCTGGCTAGCTATCATTTGTCATTTAACTATTAAATTATGTGCTGAGGTCAAACCCAGCTCTCGTTCATGTAGGTAAACATCCTACCACTGAGCTCTATCCCCAGCCATATATTTTAAACTTGCAAAACGTTAATATATGTGTATATGTGTGTGTGTTCAGAAATATATATACATATAACTTGAGTCCTTTTTGTTGGTGGTACATATATGATTTCAAGGCTGACCACTCTGCATGTATGTAACAATAATACTCAAAGAAAAAGAGGCTATCAACTTGAGAGTGAGGGGCATGGGAAGAGGGGTTTGAGGGAGGGTATCTGGGAAGGGTTTTTGGGAGAAAAGAAGGGGAGAAAGGAATGCAATTCTACTTTAATCAAAAACAACAAAAGATTAATATTATTTAAGTACTAATGATATATAAAATACATATCAGGAAAACCCCAGGCCTTTCTCCAACATTTTAATTTCATATATCTCACTACTCAGGTAATCAACTCCTATTAGCTTCTAGCTTGCATTTCTTACAAGTCTTTCTACAATATTCCCCTATTAATTGTGTACAAAAAATATACATCCTCAAATTTCTTTGTTTTTTTTTTCCCTCTCGTTAATGGACCCTAGGAATCACTACATATCTGTTCATTGAGACGCAACAGGCTCTGAGCATTCTGGAAGGTGGCAAGGAGCTTGTTTTTTAAGCTTCAGAATACGGATGGTGTCTTCAGCTCCCGTGTGTTTGTATTTAGGAAGCTTCGATGCTTTTGGAATTCTATGTACTGCTACAAACACTTTTATTACACAAATGCCTATTTTCTCTTTATGTCACTTTGATTCACCTTGTCATTGTGGACTAAAACTATCTTTCCAGCTGTTTTTGAAGTCATTCAGTATTTTTATGAACCCTTTTCCTTTTTATTTGCTGCATACGGATTTATTGTGGTTATTTTTTTCATCTTTTTAAAAGCTCCCCTCACCCCCAACCCCTGGTACTGGGGATCTAACCACAGCCTGTGTGTGCTGGGCAGGCACTGGACCTCTGAAGTAGCCCTTCATGCCACACTCAACGTTTTAACACATTGTGTTTGTTGTTTGTTTTTGATTTGAGATTCTCTCTGCAATTCCAATTCGATCCTTTCCTCTGTCTTCTGCTCCTGGCTGGCTTGAGAACGTACCTACTACTTCCAGATCCCACGTGGCTTCACCAGAGAAGTTGTGGGAAAGAAAGCGGCACCCATATCGGCCCTCATCGGAGGGAACCACGCTAAGGATGTTCAGGATCACGCTGCCCTCAGCAATGTCATAAGCTTCAAATGAGGTCCTGTTTCTGAACTGTGCCATCTGCAGGCTGGAGCGTCCCTGCGGCTCCTGATACAGGTACACCACGTTGGAGACCTGGGTCTGAAACCAGCGAATTTCCATGTGCTCTGCGTCCTGGTATGATGACAAGCGACATGGGAACTCCACCGCTTCCCCAACGCGGGCCAAAATGGGATCTTCAGGGCCCAGCACCCAGACCTCATCTAGGACAACAACCCAAAACAATGGCCAATATCAACCCACTTCAAATTTCTTTTTTGTTGTTGTTGTTAAATTACTTCCCTTTGTAGATCAGAAGTCTACAGCAAACCATTCAAATGACAAAAATGAGATGCTTTCCAAGAACAATCTGTGTGCTTTCCTGGAGAAGAAATTGTCATGAAAAAAGCCAATTAAAATACCTATCTATGTACACACATTGCAACCAGATGTGCTGTGCGGGGCTGGAGTAGTTATTGGTTTGAATCAATCAAGAGTAGATGCTATTTGGGGTTCTGTGTAAATATGGCCAGGGGAGCATGCTAAATACAATGTCTGTGACTAACAAAATTTGTGCCTATGATATAGAATTGCTGATTTTCGTAAGTGCACTGAGAGAAAAAGATCTTGAAAGAGGGAAACCATTTAGCTGATGGTGGTGCTTTCTGGGTAGTGAGACTGGAAAGCCTTATTTTATCCTTGTCTTAGTAGAGTTTTCATCACTGTGATAAAAAGCATGATCAAAACCAACCTGAGAAGGAAAGGTCTCATCTTACAGGTAAGTCAAGGCAGGAACTCAAGACAAGGCCCTGGAGGCAAGAACTGAAGCAAAGACCATAGAGGAGTGCTGCCTACTGTCGCTGTTCTTCACGGAGTCTTCAGCCTGCTTTCTTATGCTCAGAATGTATAAGCACACAATGGGCTGGGCCTTTCTATATCAATCACTAATTTTAAATGCCTCGGGCTTGCATGCAAGTCAACCATAAAGATACATTTTTCTCAAGTGTGCTTCCCACTGCTCAGATATCTCTGACTTGTGTCAAACTGACAATAAACTAGCCAGGGCAGGCAGTCTTCGCAGCATTTATCAATAGAGTACATATGTGCAGCTTCCGTGTAGTTTGGTATTTAAATGCCTACTGAACTCTGCTGTTGAGAGACCTGTTGTAATCTTTCATTTGATCATTGGTCTTCTTTTCTGGTGCCTCTAGGTGGTCTCTCTGCTATCCTTAGTTGGCTTCCTCCTTTCCAAATTCAGCTAACACTCTGCTTCCGGTCTGGGCCTGACCACAGAGCAGATCCCGGTCGGCAGCTCTGTACCCAAACTCAGCTAACACTTCTTCTCAAACTCAAACATCTTACATCTCCTTCCTCATCCTTCACTTTGCCTGTAGATCATGGAAGTTTCTTGCTTTGTGTCATTTTGGAGAAAACAAAAAACAAACAAACAAACAAAAAACCCTTTTACCTCCTGGATGAATCCCAGCCAATTCAATCACCTTCCTACCAGGTTTCTTCTCCAGGGTCTCATCAGCTGTCCTTCTCACACAGCTGAGATTCCTCTGTCTCTCTGTTTCTCTCTGTCTCAGTGTCTCTCTTTCTGTCTCTCTCCCTGCTCCCCATTTATCGTCCGTCTATTATCTTCCCAGGGAACGTGTACTGTGCAAGGCTTTCTAGGAAAGAGAATTGCTCTTATCTGTGCTTGTTTTGCTCCAGGAAAGTATATATGGAAAACAGGGGCTGGCGAACTGCTGAAAGAGCATCAAATGGTATGGCCTTAACAACTGGTATAGAAGCAGTGAATGGTGCTATATAACTGTACTGGTTGGTAGTGACTGTACCGGTTGGTATATAACTGTACTGGTTGGTATATGATTGTACTGGTTGTTATATGACTGTACTGCTTGGTATATAAGTGTAATGGTTGGTATATAACTGTACTGGTTGGTATGTAACTGTACTGGTTGATATGTAACTGTACTGGTTGTTATATGACTATACTCATTGTTATATGACTGTACTGGTTGGTATATAACTATACTGGTTGGTATATGATTGTACTGGTTGGTATATAACTGTACTGCTTGGTATATAAGTGTAATGGTTGGTATATAACTGTACTGGTTGCTATATAATGTACTGGTTGCTATATAACTGTACTGGTTGCTATATAACTGTACTGGTTGGTATATGTTCAGTCCTGAGAAGGCTGAGGCAAGGGGATTGAGAGTTCCTGGCCAGCCTAGGCTGCATAGCCAGAACCTGTTTCAAAAGCAAAACAACAAAAGTTACAAAACAAATGAAAAATAAGCCAACCAACCAAATAACAACAAAATCCAAAACCCTGCGTAGGAATCTTTTTGCATTTTAGCAATTAGTATGGTCTGGTGTTGTATTATGGGGCCCCATTCCTAAAGGGCACCCAGTAGAGATCAGGACAGAGTTGGTTGCTCATATTCTACCTGGGTGGGCTGACTATTGCTGCAGATCAGATACACTACCTGAGTTCACCTCCCACAACTGAAGGAAGAGAAGGTAGGTGACGAAGACGCTGAGGCACCAAGGCATTTGCTTCAGAAACTCCAGAAATACTGAGAAGTCTGTCATCTGTCAGCAGTGAGGGCCACCTAGAAAATAATAAACATGCTGGATAATGTGGGCAGTGACCCTTCACACATAGGGTCTGAGATCTGCTGTTGTCTAAGTTACTTATTTTTATTCTTTTATTTATTGTTATTTTATTATTAGCTAATTCTGGAGTTCCATATCTGGCCCATAGCTTCTTTTAAACTATGACAGGATGTAAGAACTGCTTCTAATTTTACCAGGTGATGTTGTTACCATTGGGCTTGTTGGAATTCATGGTGCTGTGAGCGGACAGGGCTGAAGGATCCCAGAGGAAGCCAAGTATTGTTTAGACTCAGGAATGGAGCCATACATTGTGTAGGGACTCAGTGTCACCCTCCTCTGGGTTAGTGACACTCTCCAGAGACTGGAAAATCTAGGGAGAATCTCAAATGCAGCTTTATCTCCCTTCCTCCCTGCCACAGACCACAAGTGTACACGTTTCTTTGCCCTGGAACATCAGGTTCATAAAACAGGAAGAAAGAGCTGTTTTTTCCAAAGCAGAGTATATATGGTGGCTGTCTGCCAACTTTTGGGACATTCTGGGTCAACTTCATCTATTCTGATCTTCTCAGGATTAGCTAGTCCCTGTTCTCAGGTTTATCACATCTTTAGGCCCAGCCGATCGAGGGATGCCATCTGGCAATCCCTTCTCCATTCTGTGGTCCAGAAAATTCAGACTCCTCTAGCTCTAACTCCCTGTTGCGCTCTGTGTTAGCATCTAACCCTAGCAGCCAATGAGTCTGATGTGATCAATGCATCTCGGGGTGCACAGTCTCCCCACATCGTTTCTTTATTTAGGCATAGGACTTAAGGCAGCAGATTTTGTATCTTAGTGACCCTCAATCTTCATGCTTGAGCAATGGAAGAAAAAAAGTTTAAGCCTCCTATGGGTTGACAAGATGCTGTTTAAATTGCATGTGATGGTGCACACATAAAGTCACAGCATGCAAAAGGCTGAAGCAAAGGGATCATGAGTCTAACCTACCCAGACTCTGTCTCAAATGTAGGAATAAGGAAATACTCCATATATAAAAGTCGCCATCTTCTCCTCTCTCCAGTTTCAAAACATCATTTTGCCACTTTCTTCCAAAAACAGTTCATCCCATCACGAAAGTTCCTCTGGGGAGGGAATATTCAGTGGATTTTTACTCTCTAATCCAACTCACATTTCTACTCTGTCTTTGCCACAATATTTGCCATTGTTTGGTGACCCTTGCGTAGCCTTTGCTTCTGCTGAGCTCTAGTCACACGAACTGCAAAATCATAGACAAAGATGTAGGATTGCACAGTAGGAAAGCCATCAGAAGGAGATGTGAGAAGGTTGATGAGGGCTTCTCAGGATGACCTTTGGGCTAGAAGGCCCCAGACTGGTAGAAACACAATATGGGGTTCGGGGAGCAATGGTCTAAGAAATAAACTACCACATCTTGGGACCTTGGAACTCAGACTTAGGGGTTGCAGAGAGAAGGCAGAAGAGCAAATGGGGACCACTCCATTTGTGTTTCAGATGGGCTCTTTATAGAGAGAGGGGGGCTCATTGCCCACTGGAGCCAACCTGTCTGTTTTGATGGCCAGAATGTACTGAGGTTATTAGTTATGCGGTAACAAACAAACCAGAGGTCCTGGGCGGAGATGAAAGCTCTGAAGGGACAGTAAGACCCCTTGTCTGTTGTGGCTGATGACAGAAGTGTGAATGTGCATGTCAATGACAGCCCTGCCAAGTGGCAGCAAGGCATCTGAGGCCACACTGACTCTGTGTGTGTCACTTACTTTGTCTTCCCTTCCCTTTTGTGCCTTGGTCTTATGGACAAGATACAGCTTAGAAACCCAAGAGAGCAAAGCCACACAGGGCAACATCACCACCCAGATAGCACCTTGCAAAGCAAGGACTGGGGCATATGCAGTGGTCCATCTGGATGAGCTACAATGTGAGGACTTAGTCAACTGTGTTAAGTGGTAGCTCTGGTCAGCCAAGAGAGACAGTTTGTTCTTTCCCAAGGGGCAAGTAAGTGAAGTGGTAGCTCTAGTTAGCCTAGAATGGTTTTTTGTTCTTCCCCAAAGGGCAAGTAAATGGGGAAGTATGTTCCAGAATTGCTAGAGGACCCACAGTTTTCTGTAGTCATATCTCTGTTGTGAGATATATATATATATATATGTGATTGTCATCATTGAAGCCACAGGGAAAAAATTTAAAATATAAGGTGAACACACACACACACACTGAGGTGGAAGCTTCACTCTATCACCTCTAGCTGTGTGTGACAGTTTCCCACATGCCTCAGTTTCCCTACTTATAATTTGGGCTTGCCTCTTCACAGACAGGAGTCACAGGTACTTTGTGTCTGTTCAGTATTCAGGGTTATCTATTGGATAGCCTTTAATTGGAAACCAGTAGTCTGGAAACTTCCTGAAGGGACTAGAAGAGAGTATACACACACACACACACACAACTCATGTATATGCCCATAGCAATAAACATAAATTAAGCACTTATTTATCAAACACTCAAATATGCCATCAGTTATTATTACTACTTTTATCAATAAGCCCAAATTATAGGTAGGTAAGCCGAGGCCTAGGGGACACCTTCACACACAGCTAGAGGTGGCACAGTAAAATTTCTGCCTCAGCTGTTGTTTACAGCACTTGTTTTCTCTCCTCCAGCCTCTCTCCATCTGCGTTGTGTCAGGACTGGCTGCTGATTTCATTCATATCAACAACTCAGAACCGTAATGCTGTCAGCAAGCACCCAGCCTCGAGCAGTGCCATGCCCACCTGGACTAAAGAAGAAACTAGCTCACAAGCTATTTAGCTACAAGACCAATCAACCAAGGAACTTAACTTTTACTGCCAAAGAAAAAGAAAGAAAACTTAAACCAAAGTGTTCCTAAGACTTTGTCACTAGCCTCTTAGGCAAGAGTCATGGGACTTTGATGTCTGTTCAATATTCAGGGGTATCTGCTGAGAAGCCTGGAAGTGGAAACCTGGAAACTTCCTGAAGGGACAAGAAAAGAGTTTCCTAAAGTGACTGTGTGGCGGACCACACAATACTCCCCGCTGCTGCCTCAAGGTCCCCTTTCTACCTTCAGTTAGAGGCTCTCATCCTTCCTGCAGTTTTCCCTAAGCAGAAACTCTTTCTAGTTTCCACCATTTTCACCAAGGTTGCCGTGGGCTCCAGAGTCTGATCCAGGTGGAGAAGTTTGGATGGAGCAAGGAGGAAGGTAGACATGCTTAATTGGGGGTGGGGGTTGAGGGTATGGAGACCTCAGTGAAGAGGTCTCAGACCTAGCTAAGTTGTCCTGTTGAGGACCATGTTATCTCTGTGATCCCCTGGGATGCTCCTTTCTGAAGATATGAAGGATAAAGAGCTCTTGCATACTGTAGTACTGAAGCCCGTTTCTCACTTCTCCTGTTTTGTACTGTTGTTTTGCAAACGGCAATTGGTATGTTTCATCTTGCTGCTATCCTCATAAGCTCCAAAGGGCAAATGAGACTTGCTCAGTTCCTTCCCCTTTCCCACTCCAGTACTACTCTACTGCCCACTAGCTTACACTGGTGTGATTTTAGTTGGTCTATAAGAGGATTTCCATCCTTGTAATCTCTAAGGGTTGAGTCATTTTAAGAAGGGGGTCTCAAAAGAATGAACCCTTTTCAAGCAGGGGAAAGGATGCATCAGAACCTTGCCTCCTCAGAGGAGCCAGCCTGAATGGTCATTTCCCCTAAGACAACCCCCACGAAACCACCAGAATTGGGTGATAAGAGCTTCCATCTATGATATGCTTCCCCTTGGGTCTCTGTCTTTTTCTGCTTTCTGTTTCTAGAAGGTTCATACAGGTGTCACAAAGGAGCCACATACCTTTCAGGTAACAGCAGAAGATCCAAGTGGCAGAGGGATGCTGGCAATCTCACCTTTCTCTACAGGGGGTGATTGTGAAGTGTTAGTCCCTGATGCTAAGATGCTTTAGATGTGGGCTGGCAGCTGAAGTCAGGAAGGAGATGCAGCTCACTGGTGACAGAATTACTCACTCACCTTCCACCTTAGGACATAAACTATTGGTTTTGCCCTTTATTATAAAAACCAAGATAGATAGAACAAAACGAGGAAGTCTCCGTCACATCCCGTCCCCGTGGAAAAAAATCTCAAGCTGAGTTCCCATAGAAAATGTCCCTCCAGTGTCTTAAAAAGAGGCCAAAGGTGCCAGGGAACTTTATTAGAACAGGCTGCAACTGCAAGGGCTAAGAGCAGAAAAAGAACACTCAAGCTGGCCACCCAGGATTGCTGGAGAGATCAAGCTGGATATCCAGGGAGGCTGGGTGGTGGTCCAAGGCCAGCCCCTCTCGCTTCCCCAGCCACATTGAAGCAGACTTCAGTCTCCATTAGAAGTTGGGAAGTGCTTGTGCCCAGCTTCTACTTAACCCATTGCATTCCTCTGTGCAAGGAAACACCAGCACGGAAATTGCCTGGGAACATTGCCACAAGCAGACTTACATCAGCGCTCATACAGCTTGGAAACTGTGGGGTATAAGCGTTTCCCTGGTGAAGCTGCACTCTACACACAGCTGAATGGAATGAAGAGAGGCTGCTGGAGGTGGAGAATCCACTCCTCTCTTGAGTTTGTCATATGCAGTGTGTCCTTTTTCTTCAAGTCTCTCCAGTCATTCATACATCCCTCACCCCTCACTCTTGCTTTCTCAGTCCTCTCTCTCTCTCTCTCTCTCTCTCTCTCTCTCTCTCTCTCTCTCTCTCTCTCTCTCTCTCTCTCTCTCTGCATTTTCACCTCCTAATCTCCCACCAGGGAGGCAATGCAATCCATTACACTCCTGGCAATTGATGTCCTATAGACCTCCTTCCTATCGATCAGCACTCTTTCCCAAGATCCTGTTCCAAATTCCTGCCTCTGATGGGTGAACTTGACCTCTTCCTGTGTGCACACCTCTTTCTTCTCAGCCTTCGTGCAAGAGATCTCTGAGACCATCACAGCCAGCAGAGAAGATAGAGGCCAAGGTTGAATGCATTGCCTTCATGGCTAGTATAACTAACACAGGAAACATAAAATAATTATAATAATAGTTAACAGAGGACCAAGAAAAGGGGAAAGCCATCTGAACATGATAGGTATTCAGAGGGCACTTGAAAGATTTTACCTCTTTATGCAAATCATGAATTTGACCTTCTGTAATGTGAGAGAAATCTAACACATTAAAGCAACACATGTCTGGAAAATGCTGACAACCAAAATTATGCTTCAGCAACAGATTATCTATAGTGGCTCTATTTTATAAAACCGGGGCTCTCAATTCAACCATCGCTGGGTTAATTTCTGCTAACATTTTTGCTTAATATTAATAGTTTTACTACTAATTATATAATATAGTAATTATACAGGCCACTCTCTTTGTATTCCAGTAATCATTCCTGGGATTGATAATAAGAAAGCTGCTGTGGATGCAACCATTACAAAATGCAATAGATGCAAAAAATCATCACAACTGGGGGAAGGTCTCTTAATTCTATTGATCAATTGTAAAGATTTACTGAAAAATGAATGTAATATGGCCTAATCTACATAACACCATTTAACTCACAGAAGGGCAGTGTATGTAGGTCTCTCTCTCTCCCTCTCTCTCTCTCTCTCTCTCTCTCTCTCTCTCTCTCTCTCTCTCTCTTTCACATACACACACATACAGAGAGAGAGAGAGAGAGAGAGAGAGAGAGAGAGAGAGAGAGAGAGAGAGAGAGAGATCCATCCCAAAGGCAGTTGTTTGCCAGAGGGAAGGGCGTGGTTAGAGGTGGGATTACAATAAGGAGAGATGTAAGTACATTTAAAGCAATAGTCAACATGATTTTAAAAAAAAAGCATTGGCAGGAATATCAGGAGTGCAAATGGATTCTAATGGATATGAGTAACTCCTATGTAATATATATGTGTGTGTGTGTGTATATATATATATATATATATACATATATATATATATATATATATTCCATGAATAGACAGATCTCCTCTGATGAAGAAAGATTTCTCTTGTTGACTGTCAGACACCAAATAAAGCCAGAGTTTATTTTCTGAACCATTGGCAACAGATAGTGCTATTCTGTAATAATATAAACTTTGATAAGCGATACATCAGACAGTCCATTTTTCATCTTTGTACAACTATAATTTCCACCAACAGAGCTATTTCTAAAGAGTACTTAATTATGCTAAAATCCATATTATTACACTTGGGACAATCAATTAGATTAGTCTGTCCACGATATCCTCCATTCATATGATTCAATGTTTATATAACGTCTTTCGTCCAGACAATTGGTCCCAAAGGATAAAGATAGTCTTTAATATGGCAAAACATTATGTCATACTGTCTCCTATTACAGGAGTGCCTTTTATCACCCCTGACACAAGGCATTAGGATTCTGGACTGACGAGCTGAGAATTAATATGTAACACAGCCAGTAAAGATAAGAGCATCACTTTCATGTCAATAATATTGTGTCCATGTTGTCTCCTTGAGGTCTTGGCTTGATGAGTTAGACTTGATGTTTCCCCAAATCTTAGACTTACTCTCCTCTTGGGCGATGTCCCTTGATGGGTTTGTGTTCTACCTTCAGGTGCTTCCTTTGTCTAGGATGTTGTCCTGGTCTCATGCATCAGAGCAGAAACCATCTGAGACTTCATTCATTTTCTGGGAAAAAATAAAAACAACCTCACCCTGATGTTAGAAGAACACCTGGACCTTTCCATAGATTAGTTTCCATTTAACATATACTTTAGGATACATCTCCTTTAGGGAAAAATTCTTTTGGTCAGCAAAAGAAGTATTTCTTTAAAGTAAAAAAAAAATTAAAGCTAGCATGGTTAAATATCATATTATGTGGGGATTTCAGTGGGTATACAAAACCCTTTTCTATTTTTAAAATTTGCCACTTAAGTATTTGATGGTGTCTTTCCACAATAGCTTGTCCCTGTGGATTTTAAGAGATTCCAGTAACATGATTAATATTCCATAAATAACAAAATCTCTTAAAGCATTTGCCTTTATAAATAGGACCATTATGAGATTTTAGTTGTAATGGGAGTCCTAGAAAGAAAAACGTAGATAATAAATGATAATGACATCTGAAGTTGTTTCACCCTTGTAAGCAGAAGCAACAGTCATATTAGAAAAAGTATCAACGCTTACATGGACATATCTTAAACATCCAAATTCTGAGATATGAGTAATGTCTGTTTGCCTAGCGGCGTTAAGTTTCCACCCTCGAGCATTAATTATGCCAGCAGATGGCGGCAGCGTAAAACAAGAAGGAGATGGTCTGTCAAGTTTGCTCGCTAGGTAAAAAGATTATGCCTATATTTGATGAAGTACCAGAGATTTTTGAGTAGCCTAAAAATAAAGTATTAGAGGTGGGGGGTAGGTCAGTGCATAGGTTTGAGCATTAGCAAGTATTAATGGACCTGGCAGAGTAGATTGAGCATGAATGTGAGTTATGAAAAATGTTGATACTGGTTGTCTCACAGACATCTGAAGGGAGAGAAGTAACTGTGAAGTAAGATTAATAACAGGGTTAAGGCTTGCAGGTTCTAAAAGAGAAACAGCTTGAGCACACTGTGCAGGGTCAGTTAAAATATTCGGTGGCTTAGAAACACCTAATAAACACTGCAAGTTTTTACAGCAAGTTCAGACTGTTGAGCGTATGACCAGAGGTGAGTATAGTCTTCTTTGTGTATATAAAACACAAACTTCTTGTCCTTTTGAAGATCCATATGTGTCTTAGTTAGGATTTTACTGCTGTGAACAGACACCATGACCAAGGCAACTCTTGTAAGGACAACATTTAATTGGGGCTGGCTTACAGGCTCAGAGGTTCAGTCCATTATCATCAAGGTGGGAGCATGGCAGCGTCCAGGCAGACAGGGTGCAGTATGAGCTGAGAGTTCTACATCTCCATCTGAAGGCTGCTAGCAGAATACTCGCTTCCAGGCAGCTAGGACAAGGGTCTTAAATCCATGCCCACAGTGACACTCCTACTCCAACAAGGCCACACCTCCCAATAGTGCCACTTCCTGGGCCAAACATATTCAAACCACGACAATCTGCAAGACCATTAAAAGCAATCTCTGTAGGGTTTTTAGATGTAATTTTAGGTATCTTAATATAATGGGATATCTTCAAAAGATCTTTTTTTTTTTAAGAAGCAATTTATTTATACGATCTTTCTTTTTTTTTTTTTTAGACAGGGTTTCTCTGAGTAAGCCTGGCTATCCTGGAACTCACTCTGTAGACCAGGCTGCCCTCAAACTCAGAAATCCGCCTGCCTCTGCCTCCCGAGTGCTGGGATTAAAGGCGTGCGCCACCACTGCCCAGCCTTCTTCAAAAGATCTTAAAAGAAGATCTGTAGACTAATGTTTATCTAAAGATCCTGAGTAACATGCTAATGTGACCTGCCAATAATTACCAGTGTGGAACAAAATAATCAGCCTGCATTTTAGAGTCACCAGTTATTCCTGTAGGCCAGTGGTCCTCAAGCTTCCTAATGCTTCAACCCTTTAGTATATAAATCCTCATGTTGTGGTGACCCCTAACCATAAAATTATTTATGTTGCTACTTCTTAACTGTAATTTTGCTACTGTTATGAATCATAATGTAAATATCTGATATATATGATATCAGATATGTGACCCCCCCCCAGGGTCGCAACCCACAGATTGAGAACCATTGCTGCAGACTCCTTACCAGCAAGTTGTTTAAGATCTGTCCTTCTTAGCATTGTCAAGTCTATAATTTCTTATAAATAAGGAGTTGCCGATCACTGCAGAGAATTATGGTATGCATAAATTTCTATGATACCATCACCTCATCACTCCAGTAAGTGATAAGGAAGAAGGAAGGATAAGTAATTGATAAGGAAAAAAGGGATTAATTCCATGAACTACTGTATTTGCTACAACACTG